GTCACAGGATCAATATCAGTTCTGCTATCGGGCCAGTTTGGAATATTTAGGCTCCTTCGATCATTACGCCAACTGACAAGCCGACACTCGCGAGCAGAGGGATCTGTCGAGGGACAAACGAGACCGGCAAAGAGGCGAGAGAGATATCGAGAGAGCAAAAATACGACGTGTCTAGTACAATAAAGTCGTATGACATACTCGTACCTTCCAAGGACAAATACAGTAGTAATGCGATTACTAGTGTCGTGGGCAGTTAATAATAGAGATGAAATATTTAGTCAATGGTGTTGCAGTAAATGCAAATATGCTGGAAATTTTCACTTCTATAGCAAACGCGCGGAATCATACTGAAAAGCATTCGGTTTAGGCTAATCTCTTTTTAGAAACTAGATTTGAAAGTTCCCTTGCGGTGACGCGAGTCAAAACTGCCGTTTAGAAGTACGTATACAATACATGTGGTTATACGGGCGTACGTCGCACATCGTGTCGTACGATGTCACGTAGATATGTTCTCTTTTTTATGCTTCTTAATTTCCAAGCATTTACGTCAAAGAATCAATCAGCCAAGTACGACGATGTAATCAAAATTATGTACCATCATCGGTAGGATATCATATTTGCGAATTAGAGAATTGGAACATATCCCATTATTAAGTCGATCATTCGCAAAAGCATTTTTTAAATCTAAATCTAATTTTAAGATTAGACTGAAGATATCGACCATATCTCTCTCCCACTCGAAACATAGTGCATTTTCTGTGCATAGTATCTCTTGCAAACTGAGACAGTGAAGATCAAAATCTTTCCTATTTATTGAGGATAAGAGTGCTTCCTTCAATAGCGAATTACATAGAGGAATCAGATGGTCTCGATGTTGACATCCATGTTTGTGAGAGAAACAGAGCATCGATCAGTTACATGTGCGAAACGCACATTGTGAAAAACAAGAATCTACCGTACGTGGCATATTCCACGAATACTTACTAATGTAGAAAGAAAAATGGATCGAAAAAACAGTCAAGTAACTTTCTTTAGCTACTATAAAATAAAGAAAGAGAGAGATGAAAATTTCCGCTCACAAGAAACAAAAAAAATTGCCATACTGCCAAATTGACAATTATTAATGCTGTACTCACTATGAACAGTAGGGATCTTCTCATTATGATAATGTTAGATAGATTATAAGAAAAATTGTTTTAAGGATAGATTAAGCAACGCCATTAGGGAAATGAGGATGAAAGAAGGACCCGAATGAAAGAAGGATGAAAGGAAACGGTGCCTATTCAATGAAAGGTGCGCAAGTGAATTTGCGCACGTTTCTATAAAAGAAGAAAAAAAACTAATTTAAATAGAAGCACTGTATGTTGAATTCGTGTACTGTTCTCCCAAGCCCTCGATACCCTTATGTACAAAGTTCCAACATAGCTTCTACCTCGAATATTTCTAATTTCCTTTTAAATATATTGAAATGGATAATTACAAATTTAATTATCAGTTCAATGCTTTTTTAGCTTACGAGTACCTTATTAAAATCAAATTTACGCTGAGTGTTCATACTATGCATTAAATCATCGATGTTTGTAATATAAAATTTTTCTTTTTCAAGTGCCAGATCAATGCCAAGAATGCACAATGAAGAACATCGCTACATGATATATTTGTTACGGTGAAAATATTTAATCTGGTAATTTTATAAAATTTCTGATAATTCTACAGAATTGTTGATTGTATTGGCAAATAATACAATTGAATATTTTTTCTTAAGATTATAGTGATCAATTGATTTGATCAAAATAAACGCATTGACTGCTTTAATTTTAATGCCAATAAATAATTAATATATTTATCAATGTGACCAATGATTCTATTGAATTATATGATTTTATAAAAGCACTAACTAATTACTTTCATCGTGACATTATCCATTTTGTATAGTAATAACGACTTCGGATGAATGTATTGCAATTTCAAATTGCAAGCTCTCCAGTTTATGAGGACAATAATTGCTCGATTACACTTTCTTCGAAACCTATACGATACTGTTCGGTATAGCAAATCTTGTAGCTAACATTTTAGAAATAATTTTTAAAAAAGTGTACATGTACAATAACAAACATAACGTCATCTAAATAAAGTAATTTATTGATCATAAATCTTCTCCGATTTTTGGCATTCTTTTGGCTGGATTCTACACTTATTACGAAATACTCTTGATATGTTGAAACTATACAAGTAATGCAACACGAAATGCTATTTCACAATTTTATACAATTTTGCTCGAATACTCCTTTTACCGTTAGTTATTGTGGTTCGAGGGTCAGGAACTGTGACTAAATGTACATAAATGCACCATCTGTCATTAGCAACATTATATAAATATATAAATATATATATACATAAAATTATAAGTAATATATACATAGATATATATATAGATATCATAAGAGATACAAGTGTGCATAAGGACATGAAAATATTTAAAAAGATATCGGTATTTTCCAGAATACCGTGTTAAGTTTTAACACAAAAAAATGTGAAATCTACTCAGTACGTTGTATCCACCTGTAATATTTAATTTTCTCGATATCTATTATTTTCAATTTTATATTTGTTAAATATTTTTTTTACGTCTTTTTTATGTATTTATCGTATTGTTTTAACGAATGTACTTCTATAATGGCTTTTGAGCAGTTTCTTTACAGATTGGTTTATCAAAAAAATTACTTATTCGTTTTAGTGTGATAGTTTTTTCTTACAAACTGAGGGCCATTTTATACAACGTTTACTATGATAAATTCTTTGTGCTTGAAAAAGTACTTAAAATATTTTATTAATATTAAAATGTATGTAATTATATAATACATCAAATTTTTCACTGCCTGTTAAACCATTTACAACCATCATGGCATTTTTCATAATTTATAATATAATGGTAATAATTATAGTACTAATAATAATATGTAATGATAATACTAGTTGTAAAAATAATTCTACGATTTGCCTTATGTCAAAGTTCATTACATAAATAGCACTTTAAATTAACAACTTTTATTTTATGTTATTATGTTAAGTGTTTCTACAATGTGGCAGCAGATTTTTTTTATTACGACTTACTATTTGGCCTTCAGAATGTAATCATAAGCAACTATTTAACATGCAGCATTTTATTTTAAAGAAAATATATATTTATACAATATTTTTTATATAATTACTTCTTTTATAATTTTAATTTATTAGAAACATTGCTTTAGTAAAGTTTCTTTATATAATATGCTCCTATTAAACATTTTCAAGCAAATTAAATTACGAATAGCTTTGAATGGCAGGAAATGATTTTATAATATTTTTATCTTTTTGTGTGTATAATTTCAAAGATTGTAATCGGTATTTAAAGACTCACACTCTTTAACATATTGTTAATGAAATGTTATACATGGTGTATGACTGGATAATGTTTATTAGCTTTCTTACAAACGATTGAAAATGCTAAATACAAAATTCGAAACATGTTTTAAGATATTAGGCTATATAAATGGATATTCGAACAATTTTCACATCTGTAAATAACATTAACTTATTTCCACATTGAAATATTTTATCCCATTAATGTATAATTAATCGTTCAACGTTCACAAAGTTAAATTATTTTAATTGTTAATTTTGGTAAAGTAGTTCTTGGTATGGGAACATTTCTCAAGAAGAAAATCAGCTCTTAAACTTTAAAAAGTCAAACGCCCTGTACACGCTGTGGTTTTTATTATAATGTTCTTAAAAAGAGAAAAAGACTTTTGCTAAGAATAACTTTCAAATCATTATGATAAGTATTCATCTGTAACAAATCATTAAGCGTTTCATCCCATTAAATATTCTTCTTAGAATACTGTAAAGCGTATTAAGTTTTAATAGCATTAAACTTGGCAGAACTTTTGTAAGAAACTTATGAATTTGAAACTTATAAGTTATAAATTTATGTGATTACATTTCAATATAATTATTATCAACATATGTACTTTGCCAACTTTCTTAATGGCTTCACGTTTAAAGTCCCAAGATAAAATATGTTACCAAAAACAAAATTAAATTATTGTATAAATATACTACTATAGTTATAAGTTGATATCATTAATCTATACTCACTAAAATTTACTGCTACAAGGAAGTCCACAAAATATTCGTACATTTATATTATAACATAATAATTGTAATGTTACACTAAGTTTTTTGTATCATTCCCTGAAACTTTCGTATATGTTGTATTTTAGTACAGTAATCCTTAGTCTTTATAATTTTTTAATGATCTAAAATGTATAGCAAAACGATATGTGGTTTGTTGTATTCTTCTTCTTGAAAACTTACGACTCGCGCGTGTTTTCGGAGCAGTTTTGATAATATAATAAAATACAATCGGCTACTATAGCTCCGTGCAATATAGCGAGTTTGTTATTGTGTATAAGATCGCCTCGAATTCATCTGTAGATGAATCAGTAAAGTGACTGCGGTCACGGATCCGAAGAAGAATATGAATTTAAATGCAAAGAATAAGTCAAATACTAAATATCGTTGAAAGAATGGGAAATTATTTTGTGATACTTTCTTGCCAGAAAGAATACAACAGGCTGAGGTAAAAACAATGATAAATGCAATGTTACTAATTAACAACTATACAAAATAAATATTGTGTAATAGGAAGAGTCTGTTGACGAGAAAAAAAAATACCGTGTACATTATGTATTGCCTTGCGGCATTAATAAACTAGTACTAACATATAAAAAATGTTTCCTTCTTTTTAATATAAATATTCGTTTTAACCTTTTTATGTATAATCAGATAATAGATAAATAAGCATCTCATCAAGTAATAATAATAATATAGAACCTGAAGATTGATAACGATTTATTATACATATAATACTTATAAGATACAGTCTAACATTATTTTTATATACAAACATTTGCAAATATTAAATTATCATTATAAACATAAATTTTAAATGACACACACATACATATATCAATGTTTCATAATTTATATAACATTAGTTGGTTGATTGGAATTATTCGTTGGTGGGCTCCTGGTCATTATTGATGTAACCTGTAGTAAAATAAATTTAAATAAGTATGCGATACACCTAAATATAAAAGAAAAATATATTATTTGGTTTCATAAAAACATATACATTTTGAAAAACTTGTTTCCTGATGAAATCACTTGTGACCGTTGAAATATTTTGATCATTTCCCATTTTACATTTGATGTAGCCATATAGATTTGCACCGTTTAAAACTATGGCAATGCAAACGAGCAAAAGCCATTTGAATTTAAAACCAAATAACGCTGCAATAAATAACATTGACCAAAAAAATGGACACAAAATCAGGGCTAACCAAAAGATTCGCGCCTCGGTTGCATTAATGCGGTTCTGTTGTGCACCCTGAAACACAGGGCACATAATAGACATTGGACTTACACATGTACAAGAAAATGATATTTAAATAATCTGAATCATTTAAGATACACACATATTTTATAAATAGTCACAATAAAAAGAGTAACTGGAATGGAACATGAATTTAGGTGACTGTCTACTTATAATCTGATTATTATACAAGTAGTTTTAGAAAGTGCCAAGGGCATAAAAATATAACAGCTAGAAAACCTTGAACAACCAATCCAATTAAATCAATGTTTGCTGAAACGTGACAAATGAAAAAATATACATGCTAATTGAAAGCTACATTTCAATGTAATCTATGCAAGTGGAACTTATGTGATATAAAATGTAATAACAACATTGATACAAGCTTCGTATCTAAGTATAGAATCAAATGATTTTCTTGATACAATGCTAAAGGAGATATAAAAGAGACACTTTCTCGTTAGAGACTTTTATCACTACATTGCATGGCAACGTAAATTAAAATATACAAATTTATATAATAAGCGAACCTTTTTAGATTCAAAAATCCAATGACTTTTGCCATCGTCATCCACATAATTCCACCATCTAAGGCCAACCATTAATCTTCCTGTAATATTTTTAACGGTCCAAAAATCCATCGATAAAAGTAGTACCACTGTTACAAAACTTGCTATAAAACTATTTGAAAACAAGCCGCAAAACAAATAAACTATTATAGCCGCTATCCGGAAGGCCAAGTGAAACAGCGTAACATATGGATGTCTAAAATTATAGAAAACAATATTTTATCTTACAAAATTATGGTCTACGAGCATTTAAAAGATACACGATCTTCATTATTTGTACTTAAGCTTGTTGGAATTCTGGGCCTCCTCCTCCTCTCCAAAAGCAATCGTGTCGTCATCCATCAATAAAGGTACCTACAAATGAGATCATGGAACATTCGATAAAAGGAGTATCGAGCATGCATTTATATTCATGCAATTTATCTTGCATTTATTAATATCTTGGAATGCTACTGTGGGTAGTGTAGACGAATTTTCATTCATGCACTTTTTGAATTTCGTATAGTTTCTGTTATTGAAATTTAAACAGCTTAAAATAACATTGTTTAAGGTTCAAACTTTTACATTAAAAAATAATGTCAAATTTAGTTGTTCTAACATGGACATAAAAAAGTGTAAAAGATTCTTAATTATGTGGGTGAATTTTCACCCAAATTCACTCAAGTAGTGTCAACTTAAGACAAATATGAGTGACATTTTAGGATTAAATCTATATGCACACACTATGACGTGGAGGGATGAATTAACACGGAGCGTAACCTCCGTTTCTCGAGTGAAATAAAAAAAGGAGGAAAGAAAGAGACACGAAATTGAACCCCGAGAACTCCCGCATTCGCTTCCGCAAAGGGCGTGATTATCCATATTACGAACCCTTCCGCAGTGTACGCTAGAAATACGTACGGAAATGCGCAAGCGAATGTCAGAGTGACGACCTTCCACCCACTATCGGCGATTAGAACTATTACTCCCAGTCCCCGACGTAACGAAACGACACTTATTTTCGTTTTACGAGACAATCGGATACCTCATGGTTAGGCACGACTAAAAAAAATATGTGGCGTCAGTATGCGATCGATCGCGCGGAAGAAACACGGCGTTGCGTACCTACCGTTGCGGACGCCATGTTTGCACGTTGACAGTCCGATACTCCGATGGTACTTCGTGCGTCGTCTGCTGGACACTGCTGGGAAAGATGGTGGCCTCGCGGTCGACAGCGACGACAGCAACAGTCTCGTAAAGTCTCGTCCCGTTGCGAAAAAAAACTGAGCCTCAAAACGCGTCACGACAACGCTCGCATTCTGCGGTTTCACTGTCGAACATTGTTAATCAAGATAAACGCCTTGACATCGTTAATAGTCCGGCGCGGACGAAACCTTGAGACGCGGCGCCGACACGGACGAAAGTCGCGCCAATTGTACGATTAATCGAACGCGGCGGCCGACTGGTCGAATGCGGGAGACGCTCATTGGCCGCGCTACTCTCTCACGCATGCACATTGCGTCTCGCTATTCGTACACTGTTGCCGCCGATTATTGGAAGATATATCGAATCGAATTCAACTTTGATCGAATTTCAATTTAATCAATAATATTTTAAGTAATATGAATAAAATTATTGAATTAATCAATAGAATTATGTGTGTTTAATGAATCGAATTGAAAATAACAAACTGTATATTAGAGATTTTAAACAATTCTGCCAATGGAGTTAACCGCTGATTAAATTAATCGGAGTTTGATCAAAGTCGTCCTTAATTTACTTGTCGATTGAAACTCAATTTGAATTTTAATTATTAAGTTCGTAAATTATATTTTATAAATTATTAATTAAGTTATTTTTCAATCGATCGTTACATGTCGTAATTTATATAATTTCTTACTTAATAATATAAAGCCTAATCTACAATGTACTCTTTATCTCTTGTTTCTTTCTTCTTTGCTATGACTATTTAACGTGATTCTTATCACGTTTTTTTTTTTATTTCTTCCTAAGTTCGTCAATTTTTATTTCGGATGATAGAAAATCAAGAAAGGAGTAAGAGGCAAAAGCCAAGAGATAAAAAATGATAAAAAGCAAGAAAAAGGACACGATAAAGGAAGATATAAAAAGAGCACATTAAATTGCACAGTAGATTAAGCCTAATTAAGTAAAGTGCTTCCCATTTAGACAACACAAGTCGCAACATAAAAATTATCTTCCGTGGAGTTCCATATACAAAAATAAAATAATACTTACTTTGTGTCATCACGTGAGAAAAATATTCATGTATGTATACACGGAGACATAAATGTCTAGTCATGTCTTTTCACGCCTTCTCATGCCTTCTTCAATACGCATGCAACTCAAACGGTTAGGCATTTATGTCCCCGTGTGTATAATATATTGTATTATATTTACATTGATATAGTAATAAATTATAATATATAAATTATAATATTGATGTAATGTTATTATATATATTTACAAGTAAGAAATTGATATTTAGAGATACAGTGTAACATAGAGTGAGCGTTTCTTTTTATTTAATACTGACAAATAACAAGAATGTGTAATGCGTCGTCTACAATAAACGGAGTAAGAAGTAAGAGAAAGAAACCACACCAATGACCAATCACAGTCGATTATTCTTCTCACATTCAACTGTGATTGATCAATTTCTTAATCTTACTTCATATTCCATGTATTGTAGACGGCGCATAATGATTCACTGTGATACACTGGTCGGTATTTATAGTCGGATCTTATATTTAAGACCGTTTTAAGTTATGTCTTAAGTCGCTAATGCGGCCTTCTGATTGATTCATGACATCTTAAGATTGTACTTACTGGTCACTGTGTATCATCTGTCTCTCTTGCTGGGAAGCATCCAGTTCGTGTTTAACGGTCAATAATCAATCTCGCAAACATAGATATAACGTGGGCGTTTTGAGCACACCTAAAACCGATACAACTTGATGATGCGGTAAGTCCGGATCTGCAACAAATGTTTTAAGCCTACAATAAATGTTTTAAGCCGTAAAAAATTGACCAATTACAATCGAATGCGAGGAGAACAATTAATTGTGATTCGTTCATTCCTTATGGCTTTAAAAATCTATTGTCGATCCGAGCTAAAGCCTATATCAGACTAAAGACTGAGGATGTGATCCTGTGACTGCAAATGCTTTGAAGCTTTTTTCGATTGGTCAATTCGTAAAATTCTTTCTTCTGATTAGTCAACGATGCATTTGCACTCTATAGGTGCGGTCCATTTGGCGCTTCGAAACGTTCGACTGACCAATTAGAAGAAAGAATTCTACTAACAGAACAATAAAAAAGCGCTTCGAAACATTCGGAGCATCAAGTGAACACCGTAGCCTGAGATTTAATTGAAATTCAACTATTGATCAAGTTTATTTAAACTTTATATTGATTTTCTTCCTTCTCTGATCAGTCATGTATTCTATTGTAACCTTAATCTAATAGTATGATACGAGCTTTAGTTAGATATGACGTAAAGAAAAGGCGTGCGTGTACGCAACGTACGTAATGCGCGGCCCACGATATTCGGAAGTCGCGATTGACGGATACGACAGGGACGACGCAGAGAGACGAGCGGTGATGTCGTCGTAATACGCGCACATGATGCGCGTTGGTGGTAGTATAGGAACGTGTGTGGTGGCGACGTAGTAGTGGCCCGTGCGTCGGTGGTGCGCACGATGGTTCAGATAAGCAGTGCGGGGGACTGAACGAAGTGCCGCAAGACCGGAGATTTCGCGCCGCGCCGTTCGGCTCTCGCGTTCGTTTACGCCCGCTCGCTCCGTTTCATTCCGTCGGCACACGGCAGTCCGCCACGGGACACGGTCGACCGATTGTAGGATCTGTCTCTCCCGCCTGATGTGACGGAGGCTCGCGATGCTCAAGGATCACACAGCGATCACCCAGGCGCTCCTCGGAACCCTGCTCACGTGGGCCCTCACCGCGGCCGGTGCCGCGCTCGTAGTTATCATTCGGGGAAAACAAGTGAGTATCGATCGGAGAATTGTCCCTTCCGGACAATTCGCGCCCAGATCCCTATACGATAACGCCGTTTGCATAGAATCCGATCCTGGCCCATGGGAGGAAACTTAACCTTACCGGCGCATCCGCCCGTGCGCGAAATTCTCGCAGTTCGCTTCGAAGAGAGCATTCCCACTGTTTTCAACTACACACCGTACACTTTTCTGTCATTGACGCGCGTCTTTTACACTCTTTACACCTTTTTTTCTCCTCTCTATACAATACTTGACTTAAAGATAAGAGATGCATGATAAATAATGAACGTACTTACTTAGTTTTTATCTTTTCTAGATTTTAATCCCTTTATTTCTAAATGTAAAAGAGTTTAAAAAGACATGATTATTGGGAAATTAAGATTAATTGATGTCGGTTAATTGAATTTTAATTTAGTCATAAATATATAAATACATAAAAACACTGTTTATTTCAACTTCATATTGCTATAATAAATATGTGTGCTATCAATGATATTTTTAATTTCTTCTATTTGTAAATGTCACGTAAATATAAATAAATACACCTTTTAATCAATAACATTTGAAAGTAACATTTCAAAGGTCATTGGATATTTTTTCGCTGCATGCAAATTTTTGAATTTCACTCGTTAACAACCATCATTCTCAAGAGAAAAGGGCAAAAATATTTAGATAAGCGGGACTATTGCGATTCTTCACATTTAAATTTAGATTCGTTACTTCGATGAAATCGCAACCGCTGCCGTCGTCGACGGCACACAGCGATTGGCGGGCCCGCGTAATCCGCCGCTTCCTTCATGCAATTTAATTCGCGCGCGCGTACGAGTTGAATATATCGTTGGAGAGAATCGAACTTCTCTGTCGCGCGCTTTCACGTTCTCATCCAGACAAGATTACGCTTGGCTATTTACGATTCATATGGACGGAAAAATCGAACGATGGGAGAAAAAAAATGAGAATGCATTGGATGTTAAAGAGTAAGTTCAAAAACATACGTTTTTTAGGTGTATTTTGTGATCTTTGAATTTTGAATCAACTGTTAAACGATATATTGCGTATAATGAAAGAAATATTAGGGATAAATATTAAATATTGGAAATAAAAAAATTAAGGAATAGAGAAATTAAACGTATCAAAGTAAATATTAGAATAAATATAACAGGAATGCAAATAGAAGAATTTTAAAAATAGAGATTAAATGTAATGTATAATGGATACAAATACGATATAAAACATATAAATATTTATATATTTTATATTTTTATTCGTATGTATTCTCTAAAATTTTTTGCGTGAATCTCACTCTTAAAAATTGAAAATTGAACAACTCTTTTTTTTTTAAGTCTAGCTCAGTTTCGCTGTTCAGAGGAAATTATGAACTGTCCTTCATCGATTTCTATGAAACTTAGCGGGCAGTGTTAAATATTCTTTTCAGAATATTACTCCATTTTGGCTGCAGATAGCAAATTATATATTTTCGAGATATTAAAAATATTTTTTTAAATTTATATTTTTATTTCTCTATTTAGATTAGATAATTATTTCTATATTTAAATAAGTAAAAGTGTTTCATGTTGTTTCATTACTTATTACCACATTAGCGTTATATATGTCACGAAAATTTGTTCTCTACACTTCTAAAATTTTTGAAAATTAAGAAAATATGATTAAATTAAAAACAAGAAAAATGTTTCAATATATACAGATGATTCAATACAGATTTATTTTTTATATATTGTCTTTACATATACATTATAAGATGAAATTGTTCATAAAAACAAGTAAATAGGATCTTGAAATAAAATTAATTTTCGAATGCAAAATTTTTAATAATGTTATTGACGTTAATTTTCCTATGAATGTACATGAAAATAAATATGAATGAAGCTTGCGTCTTTTGCACCATGTTTATAATGCTTCAAGACCTTAAGTTTTACTTGTTTTTATCAATTTCATCTCACATGTAAAAACAACATAAAATAAATGAAAAATAAGTATATTGAATCGCATTCTTCTCATGTTCTTAATTTAATCATATTTTTCTTACATTTTCAGAAATTTAAAAAATATAGAGAACAGATTTGCGTAACATACATGTGGTAACAAATAATAAACTAAATAATATGAAGTATTTTTACTTACTTGAATATAGAAATAAAAACAAATTTAAAAAAATTTTTAATATCTCAAAAATACTTTATTATGTGCGGCCAAAATGGAGTAATATTATATCAGGAGGGAACACTCAACACATGTCAAGTTTCATAAAAATTGATGAGGGACAGTTCTCTCCAAAGAATTTAGAGAAAATCCAATGTGCATTTGTATTACTTTTAATTTCTGAATTACCTAAACTTTTTTTATTTCTAATACTTAATACTTATTTAGG